ATTCTAAAAATGGCATTAATGTCATTCCGACCATCAACTATAATAATAGGAATAGCTCAGTACGAATGACTTGTTGGTAAGCTTCCTTTTTAGTTTTGCCGTGTCATAACTAGGAAAATGTCAATTGTGTCAACAAGAAAACAGAACCTAACAACTCTATGAATACGTTAACAGCTTGCAATCCAGCGATTCTAATAACATACGACACTTGATCCTATCTTCCTGTTACAAAAATGAAAAGAGGCTTATTAAGTAATAAAAGCTATGTAGTATGTGAGATTTATCTGTATCAGACAAAGTATTCTTGACTCGATAAACTCTAAATCAAATCGAATAAAGATTTTTATTCTCAGTTTTCGATGTTGAATCAGAAGAAAATATTTTCAAAAAATATATCAAATAAATAGAATCGAAATCAGATGATTTCTGTAGAGAAAAAAAAACTGAAGTCATAGTCATTCATATTACTTTGTTAATCGTTTGAATTTTTCAAAGTTTATTTCAGGTACTCAGAGGTTAAGTCGACATATAAGCTAAATACTCGTGACTAGCTAGTCGAATTCTATCAAAACATATTTAATCGAACGACAAAAAATTTCATTCGAATTTTTGCATTTCTGTACTTTGATATTACTGATAGAAATGAAATACAGTTGCAAATATTTATTATTCAGTATGATTATATAGTCATTTTATTAATATTTTTTATTTTAGTTTTTGTGAATAATATAGTATCATTATTTAGATTTTGATGAATTCACTTTTGAAAGAAACAACAGAAAAACATCAACATTTTCAAGTTTATCCATTGAAACCTATTAGCTGATCTTATTACTTTGGTTCTATAATATTCTGAGTAAATGAAAGTTTAAAAAAAAAAATACCATTTCTTTGTTTCTTGATAGAAAATTTTATCATCAAAAATATTAAGTATATTATGGCTACATATTAACATAAAAATATATTAAAACAGAAATTCTATTTCTGTTCATTTTCTTGCAAATAGTTAAAAGTTTAATAGTATTCTACATATATTAAGCATAAAAATATAGAGTAAGAAATCTAGATCGTATTTACGTCATTTTTACTTGGTTGATAAGAGAAAATTAACTCTTCTTTTTGATAGATACTAATGGCTTTTTCGATGATAGAAATTATTATTCTTTCATTATATTTTTAATTCAATGGAATTTAATCTATAAACTATTTAAAAATAATTACAATACTCTATTACGAACATTCATCAATCAAGCATCCTTGAATATAAATTAAGAGGATGAAGATAATTGAAACAACATTTTGACAAAATAGAACAGAATTTAAGTAGATAGCAATTTAACTAATTTCAAAGCGAAAAACAATGACACGTTTTAATATATATTAATAAAATAATTTTCCGTACGAAAATATTTATATATATATATAAGACTTAAAATAAAAATGTGTTATCAGAGTACAGCAATTTATTTTCTAGGAACTAAGCTCTTTATCACTTCACTATTCATTTATATTCAAATTGCACTCAATGCTATAGAAAATTATCAGCGTCGCAAAATGATAAGCATGTTTGCACATCCTTCTTTAAGATTACTTGGAGTTTAAAAAACAAATGTTAATGCCATTTTATTCTATTAAATATATATTCATATTGAGAAAAGAACAATAATTTCATCACGAATTTGACTTTGACATGTATTATCACAAGAAGAATGTATCATCGACTATATGCTAATAAATCTCACATTGCATAAGTACATACGACTGTAATCTTTTATATGAATCACGATATACCGATGTTTTTTTTCTTTGATGAATAATTATATTTGAAGAAGATTTAATACTAGATAATTATTTACGAATAGAAATAAAATTCATTTTATTTGTATTTCAAATTTATTATCTGAACAATTGAATGCATATTATTATTTGTTGAATAAAATGATACATCTGATTTGTCTTCGGTTTTGTTTTTTGAATTTTGTACACGACTCAAACATTAGAAATCTTACTCTAGATACTTTGAGAATATTGTTGTTATGAAAAACATATATCATTATATTGAAAGGAAATTAATATAATGTTTTTGTTACAAGATAATGAAAAAGAGATATATTATAAAAATAGCTAGATTATAAATAGGCTTTGTTCATTTCCTTGTAAATGATTATAGTTCATTTTTAACAAAAAAAACAAAAAAATATTTATCATGAAATGAAAGACTTATTTTTTATTAATGATATTTATTTTCATTATATTCAACTAGTTTTATGAACATATACAGATAAAATCAGTTTCTTAAGTCATATAACATAAGATCAATGAGTAAATTTTTGAATACAATAAATATTATTTATTTTGACATCGATCAAACTATATAATTCATATTAATAGAATTGTGTACTAAGTGTATATGTATAAAAACTTAATGAAAAATTTTCCATTTAATAACGAACTAGATCAATAAAAGAGCGCAACATGCATTTATATGTATTTTGGTTCCTGAAAAATAGACATAACATATGTTACGGTAAATGAAACTGCGCGTATAACATTGAATGCCACATAGATTACAAAAACACATTTAGAGTAACTGATTATCACGTTAATGTAAACGTATTTGATTTATAAGCATTACTCAACGTTGTTGTCAACGAAAAATACAATTTATATAATCCCGTACAAAAGAATCATCAAATAAAAGTACTATAAAAAGTATAAATATAAAATATAAATCTGCTGAGAATTAAATTTAGACTGTAACAATATGAAATAGTAATCTAGGGAGCAAGTTTATACTGAATAGAACTATAAAAGTAAGCAACTAAGATAAATATAATTAAACTTAGAATATGAATTCATACATAAACGATCAAAATAATAATATATAGTGATTAAGTATACAAACTATCATCGAAATATATCTTTAGTTTACAATACCAATTATGATTTCTTGATGGATTTTAATATAAAATTGACTTAGAAGTCATAAAGAAAGCACAATGATATAGAGGACAAGAAGATTAGTTGCAGAGAGCACTTGAATATGCAATGAATGTGTATCCATTCTTAATGATTTTTAGATACAAGAAGAGAATTCATTCAAATGAGTATAGCACCAATATTTTCAAAAAATGAAAAATAGTAATTGTGAATAATGAATGGAAATTGAAAGTAAATAGAGTTTGCCATATATCTGCATTCTTCTTTCATTGATAATTAATCATAAATGAGAATGATCTTTATCTTTTTTTTTTCTTTTGCTTCAATAAACATTTTCTATACTTATATTATTATTATAAATCAGCGGATTATCTATTCATTTTTGCCAAGCCTTAATACATGCATATCTAGTTTTTTTTTAAATAAAGAATAACTCAGTTTCTAATGTTTAATCATCGTTAATATTTCTGAGAAGAAATGTGATTGAAAAAAGTTTAATAACAACGTAATTTTTTGGTATAATGTTAAACATCTTACTCAAATGCAGATAGTGATTTAAGTAACCAGTGAAGTTTTCTATTTAATATATTTTATATTAAGATTATATAGATGAATTATGATAGCAAAGTTTCTAAAATAATCACATATAATAGTTTTTAGGCTGCAAAAGTTTTTATCAAATGCATTTTTTAACAATGCCAATGTAAAGAGTACCAAATTCTGAACAAAATGAGCGATCGCCACATTTCCTTTTGAATTTTGTACTCTTGAAAATGACATTGTTAAAAAATACTTATGACAAAGTCTGTTCAGACTCGAAAACTATCATGTCTGATTTTTTTGAAACATTACCGTCATTGTTCATAGATGAAATCTTGGTATAGAATGCACAAAATAGAAAACTCTATTGGTTATTGAAATTACTATCTGAATTAAAACTAGATGCTTAACATTATAAAAAAATAGAAAATATGTTATTGTTAAAATTTTTCTACTACTTTAAAGTGTATTTTTTAAATCTTACACATGATTGAAAGTTAATTGAATTTGTAACAATAATTTATTTATATAGTAAAAAGAAACAAGCTTTTCCAAGTACTTTCTAAATATTCAATCATATATGTTCAGCAATTTTAATTCTAAATAAGGCAACATATTTTATTGAGTTTTCTTGAAAAATAATCAAGAGCTATTAACAGAATTGATGAGGACAGCTTGAGGCATGATCCATTATTGTTTATCTACGTTATTTATAATCATTTTTTAATTTGTCATTATGAAGAGTGACAAAATGCGTAGTTTTTTTCTTCATGCTCTTACTAAATTCGATCTAATTCATTTGATCTTTCATCGTAATATAAGATTTCAATTATAAACATAATCCTAATAAGTGTTAATGATAGATAATAGTACATAATAAAGATAGTTTATACTTTATGCTCTTTCAAAAAAATACTTATGAAAAACAATGATATTGGCTTTGATTTCTAACATAGGGTGAATCAATCGAACAATTTTTTTTTCAACACAGAAGAATAACACAATACAAAAACAATAGACACAAATAAATCTAATGATATACTTAATTAGTTTTTCAAACTTAGCTTTTCTGAAGTTAAGACCTACATAAAGAAATTTGACACCTATCAAATGCTTATTTAAATAATTTTTCGCTACAGTCATAATATTAAACAGAAAAAAATATCACTTTCAATTTTAAAGAAGAACTTCAAAATGATACAATTGTGTTCTTATAAACAGAATTTTATTAAAGAAAAAAAGATCACCGATTATAATAAAAACTACATTTAGTGAATTAAAAATATCATACATCATAGAGGATTGTCTAAAATCTTTAAGTTCTCTTGCAAACTTTCTTTACCAACATGATATAAAGAGTACATTGTATATATACCAAAACAAATAAAAGTGTATTTCTTTTACGAGAGTTTATTTTCTTAAATAATATATACATAAAAAGTGAACATATTATAGAAGTTTATTTAAATATATTTGTTGTGTTATGCTCTTTTCAAGCGTGGCTCATCCATTATCTAAAGTCATGGTTGATGATTATTCTTATGAATCATTCTATAAAATCGTCTATAAATATTTTTCATCAGAGAACATAATTCATGCCGATACAATGGTGTACCAAGTGTATAAATATAAAAACTTGTTGAAAAATTTACATTGAATAATAGAACAAATAAACGAAATAATGAAGTCACTGTAGGTGATGGTGTTGGTAATTGATAGACAACACAAAGCAATACAATACTAAATGGAATTGTACATATTAAGTGAGCTGCTACATAGAGAAAAAGCATTTTCAATAACTGATTATCACGTTGACGTAAACGTGCTTGATTTATAGGCATTATTCGACGTCGTTGTCGGCGAAGAAAAATCAATGTAGTAATGCATAAAATTATCATTAGAAAAGGAGGTGCGAAACCTAAGAATATAACTAGAAATACAGCAAATACTCGAAGATATACTGTATTGACGACGGTACAAGCTGAAAATGTTGACTGACTAACTAACACATACCAAATAGGCGTATGAAAATAAGCAACAAAAATAAATATAGCCAAACAAGGAATAAGAAAAGATGCCACACGAACTGTTGCAATTCGTCGTAATCGAACATTTGTTGAGCTTGTACATAAACGATCAAAACAAGCCAAAACAATAAAATATGGTGATAAAGTATAAAGACTAGTTTGCACATATGTTTTAGTTTTACAATACCAAGTATATTTTTTTGCTGGATCAAATCCATATTGATCAACAAGCCATTGAAGAAGTACATAAATATAAAGAACAAGTAGGTCATTAAATGAAAGCGCTCGAAAATATAATGAACATGACGTAGCTCGTAATGGTTTTCTATAATAGAATAATATTTGATTAAATATAACACCCATTGTTCCCAAAATGATTAATGGTGGTTGAGTATATCGACTTATTTGATAATAGACCGAATCTGCCATATGTTTGAAGAATATTTAAATGAAACTCGTTTGATAGTCTTTG